TTTTTCTTTTAAAAATCCATAAGCATAGGTTATGCTGGTGGAATAAAAAACAAATAATGTTGGTCTTTGTTATCAATATGAAATTAGAGTTTTAAAAAATGAATGCAATTCAAATTTACTAGTTTTACAAGTTTCGTATAATAAATTATATATCAGAAATAAATTTTTAAAAAATTTAAAATTCATCAATCCATTATAAAAAAAAAAGACAGAGGATGGCGATCCTAGTGTAATGGTTAGGTTGTTATCCTTCAAGTGACAGGTCTAAGGTTCAAATCCTAGTTACGACGAAATTTGGAAATTATATCTGTAATACGAAAACTGTCTCCTATCGATCGGTTGGCCTTATGCGGCTGTAACCCAGATACATCAAGTCGGGGTCCTACTGACATTGGGAGCTCAGAGGCATCTATGCGAAGTGTAACATTATACGGTACATGTATATAGAGGAATATTAATAACTGGTGTTGCATAAGACTTCGGTGCAAATCTATGATAAGACCACCAGGCGTAGAAGACTAAAGAACCAAGAAGACGAAATCCTACTTGGAAATTTCTGAGTAAAGAGGTAGCACAAATTTTTGATGGTGCTGTCAGACTGATGGAAGCCCACGAAACATCTTCATAAGAACCAAAGATTAAAACTGGATGTCAAGATGTATAAAAAAGCATATGACTAACCAGGCCACTGGATTCGCCAGAGGAAAAGGATACTAAGATATACTATACTGGGCTATCTGGATTGGTAGTCTGGTCTGAGACCAACAGTTCTGAGTTGTGGCTAGTAGGGGATGATAGAGAAGATGTCAGAAAGATAGGTACCAGAGTTTGGGTGCACTTTACAAAAGTAGAAATAGTGTAACGTAGTGGTTTAAGGTTAGCCCTGACTGCAAGTATTAGGTAACTATAGCGTGTTATATAAAACTAGGTTAGTTGTGTATGGGATACGGAAGGCTCTAGTAATGATGCTTCTAAGGATACACTGCATGAAATAAGGTATGGGGTCCTAAGGATACGGGTAAGCATCTAGACCTTCTTGACTAACTTATGTAGCGAAGATGATCTAGTGATACAGTAAGGGTTGCAGTACAAAGGGTTTAAATAGGCAACACCCCTAGTTGGGTTGCAGGTATGGCAGCTAGTATAGAACCATCGGTGGACTACTTAATTAGACACCAAAAGTGTATATGTAACTAGTTGTACTCTCTAATGTAAAGTGACTCCTTTGAGGCCTTGGTCATGAGTCCCTATATTCTGACTATACTAAATAAAAAGCCCCAGCCCCAAAAGAAGCTAGTTTAATACAAAAAAAAAAAAAAATAAAAAATAAAAAAAAAAGACTATAATATACTCTGTAAGTTGTGAAATAAACACAAATTTATTTTACAATTGAATGTCTTAATTTTATTATTCGGTTTTATTGTATAGACTTATCTTGGATACAAATGATGTACATACATATGTTATGGTATCCTTTTTTTTTTTTAAAAAAAAAAAAATGCATTAGTGTTGTACCACATTTTATATACACTGTATTTTTCTAAATCAAGATTTTTTTTTTGTATATACAGTGTGCAACATAAGTAACTGACCCCTCGTATCTTGCCAAATATCACATGACATGATCTATAAATTTCGGCATTTGCAGAACATTACTAATACTGATAATCTTTACCTTTTTGAGGTTAATTGACATTCTATAATTACTTTCTATCGATAAGTAATATGAGATCGTGTTTTTATACACTCACCCATTAGGTCCTAGGCTTGAATATGAAGCCATTGCAAAGTATGTCTGCTGCAGTAAGGGCACTGTAATTAATGTGCTCAAAAAGTGGAATGAAACAAAGGACCTCAATAACAAACCAAAATCAGGCTGTAAGCACATTACAAGCAAAAGATAGGATGAAAAAATAAGGAATATGGCCGAAAAAAATTTTGATATAACAGTTACTGAAATAAAGTTGAAAATAGAAAAATGTAATGTCAAAGTGAACAAGGATACAATCTAGTGTCGTTTGCATAAAGGAGGTGCCCAGTATATGAATCCACTTTCCAAGCCTCTTCTTATCAAAAGGTACAGAAAAAATCATCTAATATAGGTGAACCAGCATAAGAACTATGACTTTAGTTGTGTAATTTTTTCTGATGAGTATACTTTCCATCTGAATTAGCGAAGAAGAAAGGTGTAGACCTTTCTAGGTAAAAAAAAAATTTTTAATATTGTTAAGCATCCATTGAAGGTCCACGTTTGGGGCTGTTTTTCTTCTTCAGATTTTGGCAAGCTAATCCTTTTTTAAAAAAATTTAAATGCTAAATTTATGATTACTATTTATGAAAAAGGTCTTCTGCCATCCGCTAATAAGCTTTTTGGTCAAGATCACATAAAGTGAGTTTTGCAAGAGGATAATGATCCTAAGCACTGATCCAAGTTAGTAAAAAAATGGAAAAAGAAAAATGGTATAAAGGTACTTCCTTGGCTGTCTGTTTCACCTGATCAAAACCCTATTGAGAATGTGTGGGTGATCATAAAAATTAACCTTGCAAAAAAAAAATTAGTAATTTTAGTACTTTGAAAGTGGAAATAAACAATAAATAGAATCAATTACCAAGTAGTCTTGCAGTAAAATTAGCTGCTAGCATAAAAAAGCGCATAGATGCATTAATTGAGTCCAATAGGGACTTTATAATGTATTAGTAACCAGTACTAAATTTGTTTTTTTTTAATAAAAAAATTTAAAATTTTGCGCTACCTGTATGATGATCCAGAAGGGGTCAGTTACTTATGCTACGCACTGTATCTTTTTCATGTTGAATACCGGTAGTTTAGTTTTTTTATATACTAAAAAAAAAAAAGGAACCCAAAAAAAACCCCGTAAGACTAAAACAAAAACAAAAAAAAAAAATGAATACTGTTATTAGCAATAACAAGGCAGTTAAAGTTAGAAGTCGTGTTCAAAGAACTTATAAGATATCAGAAAAACTTACCGTTATTCAAGAAGCAAAATGGATTGGTGTTTTGGCTACTTCACGTTGCTTTGGTATTGATTAGTCAATAGTATTACGATAGAAGAATAATGAAAAAAAATTTAATAATGTTGTATCTGGTAACCGACGTGTTGGTGCGGGAAGAACTTCATTTTACCCAGCTGCTGAAGAAGAGCTTATTAAATAGTTAAATGAACTTCGACAAATGGGAATTGCAGTAACATCAGGTTCTATTAAAATGCAAATATATACAATTTTATCAACAATCTGTGCAGATAAATATCCAGGTGCTTCACAACAATTTCATGCATCCAAATCTTGGTTTTACCGGTTTTTAAAATAACACCAACTTTCTCTTCACCGTCATACTAAAATTAGCCAAAAGTTACTTGAAGATCTCACTGAAAAAATAATTAAATTTTATAAATTTGTAATTCAAGCTCAATTAAAATATCAGTATGATCTTTCTCAAATCGTAAACATGGATGAAACACCTGTTTATTTTGACATGACAAGTTCTTATACAATTAATAATAAAGATGCTAAAACAGTTCAAATTAGAACAACTGGAAATGAAAAAAACCAGTTTACTTGTGTTTTGGCAATTATAGCAAATGGTAACAAACTCCCTCCCATAGTAATTTTTAAAGGTGTACGAATTTCCTCTAATCTGCCTTGTGGCATTGTTGTATGTATGCATAAAAGTGCCTGGATGGACGAAAATTTGATGAGTGAATGGATTAACCAAGTTTGGAACAAGCGACCTGGAGCATTAATTGTAAACAAACCTTTGTCTTTGCTTGTGATGAATTCATTCGAAGGACATCTTACTGATATTGTAAAAAATAAATATGCAATTAATAATATTCATAAAGCTATTATTCTGGAATGTTTAATATCAATCATACAACCTTTGGATGTAAGTATTAATAAACCATTTAAAGACTGATTAAAGGAAAAATAGCATTTGTGGATGAGTAATGACGAATTTCAGTTAACTAAGAAAGGAAATTTAAAATGACCATCATATAGTTTAATTTTCCAATGGATTTTAGAAGTGTAGGATGATATTTCTGCAAAAATGATTATTAAATCATTTAAAAAATGTGGTATTTCTAATGAATTAGATGGGACAGAAGACGATTTATTATAT